GGTCTATTATTTTCAGTCACTATATGCCAATCCTAAATATTTAAATTTAATTTGATAAACTCCTTGGATACAGACATAAGAGTAAAATTACAGAAGCTAAAATAAAAGCCTACATATCATGAGAACTTTTAACACACTATGTGCTAAATTCCTAAACTACCATTATTTTTATAGGTTTTGCTGAAACCACGTGACTACTTCAAACTCTCCTTCAGCCATTTGTCTGCCTTCAGTCAAAAGAAAAAGTGATTTTCACAGATCCAGCTCCTTTCTCTTCTCTCCTTACGTTTCACATTCATGCCGCATTTAATATTTTGATTCTTGCGCAATAAAGCCAATTGAATGCTACTGGATCTCTTGAGAGGAATTTGTGAAAATAACTCAGGAGTCTTTAAAATCTTGAGATTCTAAGGCCAATTTAGTGTGAGCTGGAGTACACAAGTTTACCAGGAGGCAGAGTTAATAGTTTCATCAGTTTCTCAAAGTGGCCCATGATCTAATACTGATGAGTAACTTCTTCTCTAGGATGGCACTGGGACATCTAACCTTACCTCTGAGTTACTAGGACCAGAGAATAGTTAACCCCCAGCCTTTCAATCCAGGGGACCACAAAGTGATTATTGGGAGCACAGGAACTATAGAGTTAGCATTAAATTTAAGTGTCAAAATGTACTGCTAACTTTAGTCTAAATTATTCCCAATAGCATATTGTAGGCACAGGCAAGCTACAGGTGTCCACTACTATAAATATGGATATATGGCAAAATTATATGAATTGATAGAGACTCTAGACATGTATGTCCAGTCTTCTCCAGACTGGAAGTATCAGTCTTACATCTGTCCAAACATACAAACACACACACACATACATGCACACACACACACATACACACCATACACCAAAAAGCTTCTGGAATTAAGATTCTCCAACCTAGAAAAACTAACATAGTTTTTGCCTTAAACGAATATTGTAAGGAAAATTAGAAGGTCAGTTATGTGTTTGGTCCATATTTCACATGTCAGAAGAAATATAAATCACTCAGCCTTTACAAAGTCATTACTGATCACCCATATAATTCTCTGCTGTAACCCTCAACAGATGTGCTGTTTGTGATTTAGAGTCTTTTATCTGCTCTCTCATTCAAATGCTAGAGTCTGGGAGAAAAGCATGGTCAGAAACATGGCATGGCTAGGCCTCATTTGCTGTGACCATTAATAATAATATTAATTTCTTAAAAAACAAAGTAAATATGTGGAAGAAGTAAAATTTATTTCATTAAGTAAAAAATTATCACCTACTATATACAAAATGCTATAAAAATTATTGTGATGATACAAATATTTCATAATAAACAATCAACAGTTATATAGCAAAAACTATATGCCAATCTTCTATTTGTTTATACATGTTTACTCATTTAACATGTACTCATGAACTACATACTATTATCATGTTGTTATTATTAATATGAAAGAAAGAGAAATGAAGTAATTTTGATCAAAGAAGCTGAGAATTGTACCCAGATAGTCTTGCTTTAAATTCTATGCTCTTTAAAAACTGATATATAGAACAATGGAACCCAATAAAGAACCCAGAGATAAATCCAGGTATATATGGTGAACTAATTTTCATCAAGGACACCAAAAAGAAAGGACACTCTCTTCAATAACTATTGCTGGGTAAAATGAATATTCACATGCAAAAGAATGAAATTGGACCTATATCTTACCTTACATACAAAAATCAACTCAAAATGGATAAAAGAGCTAAACGTAAGA